AATTCAGTTCACCCGAGCTACGAAAACCGATTTTCAATATTTTGTCAATGTTCATTGTGTTTGTTTCTGTTTTCAGGCGCTTGGAAGATATGGTCAAAGTGGATTACAAATGTGTTTGTGTGGCCTGATGCACCAGATACCTCATGCAGCCATCACATTTGGACTTTGACTGAACATTTGCGCCGGTCTTTTACAACCCTCAATGTGGGATCCATTGTGTGCAGAAATATTCTGCCATCAGATTTTGTGATCAATCCAGTCAGTGCTCTGTTTTCATTGTATAGTTTTTATGATATGAGTACTGGTTTCACTGAGAAAAGAAACCTGGTTCAGCCGACTGTACAATACATATCCAGCGCCATTCGTCTTGTTCTTACAATCTCATGGTTAGAATTTTCTATGGATATCGAAAATAGAAAGTAAATCTATTCATAGGCGCGACGCCACCGTCTAGATATTAAATTCAGTATGGTTTTTATTTTTTCTCGCCGGGTAATTGCCGAACTGGTCCAGTCTTGTAATATCATGTTACCGTTCGAGATAGAAAATACGTTTTCAGTAATATTACACTCATTTAGCGCCATAAAGTAGAGATGTCCAAGTACTGCGGGCGCAACTTCCTTATGCAACAGGCTACCTCAAGTCTACGAACAGCGGGTGCGTCTTCATATCGCGGATACAAGAAAAATCGCTGAGGCGGTGAAAATTGCTTCTCTGAAGGAGCACTCGCGAACGATGGACACCCATACCCAACGACGTAACAGGTCTCTGTTTGTCGAGCGATTTGTATGCAGTAAAACACCACAATTATTCGTAGAAAGCATGCCTGTCTGAAAGCCACTTTCAGACTTCTCTGTCAGAACACAAGGTATATTTTGTGATCTCGAAAGGTAGTTAATCATTCTGATAGTGTCTTTCGATTAAGATAACCTTTCTCGGATGATTATCTATTTGAATAAACAAAAAATTACAGTCACTGACATTAATGTGCTTCCAGTGTTCTTTAGAAAGTGGGTTCCTAGCTAAGGCCAGTTTCACTGCAGTGTTCTGTCTAATGTTCTGAAATGGAATCGATCTGCCGCAAACGTGCGCACCAATGGTCATAATGGTTAGTTGACCGGCATCCGCGTGACGGATAAGTAATGCGTTCGAATTCAACAAGAACTTTGTTTGGATGCACATGGTGATCATTACTAGTGTTGGCCGATAAGTTTATGAACAAGACAGTCGCGTGCTTTATTTGTGGCGAACGGAACAACTAACTTATTTGCACACGTTTTCTCGTCCGCCAAGGTTCGGTTGTCAGGTTTTGTACCATGTGCTGCTTTGCATCCGTTCGTTAGATTAGGTTATCCCACTTTCGGTGTAGGAACGAATTTTGTTTATTACACACCAGTGTGTGATGAATAGCAGACGGGCGAACCCCATAGTCAAGAGGACGTGCTATTTTTAGTGGTGGAAACCGGCAACCTAAGACCCGGGACTTGGAATGGCGAACCACATAAGGCCCCGATAGGTTAGGCGTGGTATTGAACCGGGCGACAGCAGAACTGCCTACCACCAAAGTCGGGTAGCGGTGGCGGGGCTCCAACGTCGGACCATACGGTCCAAAGCACGCCTGTGACAGCGACTAAACCACTGCGCTACAACCACCACCTGCATGAATCACAAGCAAGATGTGAAAAGAGGTCATGTATACTGACGGCTATTCCTGTATCCGTGTTTCCTGTGGTCTTCCAGCTTTTCCAGTAGTGCTTTATAAAGTCCTTAAAGATGAATTTCTAGATTACATTCCTACTTTCTATGCATTTTCACGTCAAGGCAGAATTATGAAAACGCCATTCACTAAGTTTGCCCTTGTGCAGTAGGGAAGACCTTGAATAACCGGTTCCATCCTGCCAGTAATACTCGCTCTCCTGACACACTGCAAGAAGAAGAGACCTTTCAATGAAAGACCACTGCGTAGTGGTTATTCACAGAACGGTGGACCCCGTCTAGGAAGTACCGAGGTTAAGTGCTTTCCTCAAACAAACTATAATTAATGGTGCTCGTTCGGAGTTCAATGCTATTTGGAGTTGAACTTTCCCTTCTTCACAGCTGCAATTGATGCCAACCGAAGACACAACAAACCATGCGGTTCTATCCGGTGGGCGATCTGCAGTTTGAGCGGTACATAGGCAAAACGAACTGTCCCGAACAGTTTCACCTTCTCGAAGGTGAATTTGATGAAAATCCCAGGTTATCTAAGCCAAAGCCTCGTGACAATTGGGTTCATCGTTTACCGAATTTTCTCGCTCAGGTCGTTGTTAGGTGACCCGAATTCTAAGCATTTAGCATCCTGGGAAGCAATGTTGACCAGTTTCAAAACATCCGATGCAGTCGTTCAACTTGGGGTAAGATTGGTTGGGCAATTGATATTGCCTCCAGTATTATGTCAGTCAATCCGCTATAGTTACAAAAAACGGTCTTGTACAAATGCCAGTTTTGTTTTAAGTTGCAACGACTGAGGAAACAAAACGATGTGTTGATATTTCACAGTATTTCTCTCTCTCCC